TCCACCTTAGATAGAATCAAAGTCAGGATACAGGGTATAACAGTGTACTTGAAGTATTCATTTATGTACAATATCCAAAACCATCTGAAGTAAATATACAAGAAACCCAGTTTTTTAATTGCTTCTACAGTACTTGCATTCTAAAACACTTTCGGAAGTATCAAAAGTGAGTGAAATTGTTCAACCACTTGAATATCATAACAAACATGACTGCAAAATTTCTCCTCCTGTAAATACTGGATTCTTGAATTTATGGAAAAAAGTTTCAGCAAGTTCACCTGCTTTGTCTTTAGAATGTTTTCTTGAAGATGGTGAAGATCATAAAGTTTTGCTGATAGCGAACCTTTAAATGATGATTCCAGAACATCTAGAACAATGACCAAGCCAGCTAGCTTCACAGAAAACTTCAATAGCAAACTCAAACATGCTTTCAGCTCGCATACTGCAAGATTATCTATTAAGCATGTCAAGGAATATAAAATTTATTGTTGTACAACCTAAAAATAAACAATTCTAGAACTTTTTTTTTTGGTCAGGATACACATAGCTTGGAGATCAGCCACAATATTCTTGAATGTCCGCTTGCACCAATCTTTGACAACCACTTCATCCAGCAAGAACGCAATTACAGGATCACTGGACACAGCACTGTCATCCATACAGACGTCTGTAACATCTGTGAGTGAACTATTAAGGAAAAGAAGAAACAAGTAGCTAGAATATGGACTACAGCAAATAATAATTTCTCACTCTTTTTGAGCCTGAATGTCAATAACAAATGACCAGAATATTTCCAATGGTCTTTTGAAGTTGTAAAATTCTTTTTAACATTTAAGTATAATACCTAGGAAAGAATATATACTCATAGCACATCAAAAGGAGAGGAAAGAACAGGAAGCCATAATTATCTGACCGAATTTCACTCAAGAAAGGAATTCCTTGCCAGAAAGCTAGAAGCTGCACCAAAAAGTGTCATTTGCCCAAATAAACACCAGGAAAGGATACAGTGACATATTAGAGAACTCAAGTTATTCTCCAAGGCAACATCAAATAGAGAATATAAACGCTGAACATCAGCTATAAGTTCTTTGTCACCATCTTCTTTATCTTGCAATCTGTCATCACACCTTTTAGAGATAAGACACGCTTCTATGCACTCATAATAAAGGCGAAGACGAAGTCTACTCCCACCCTTAGGTAAAGGAACTCTACATATTGGGCAAACATCACACCGCTGACTACATTCCTCACATAAGGAGGCATGGCCACATGAGTTTAAGACACTCTGAATGTATCGCCCACAGCTTCTCAAATCTCTAGTTGCCCTACAATGCTCAACTTTAGCTTCATTACACAGCTCAATAGGATCAATTGATGCCAGGTGAGCCAAAGCTTCCTGCCATTAAACAAAAATGGCATCAATTAGCAAGAGAAATGTACACAATCCCGACATTCAATGACCACAAATATATTAAAAGATGAAGCGGAAGAACCATCTAGCTAATTAGTGACTCTTCATTCCAGCACAACCACACCCGTAAAAATGCAGCCCATGACATTTCCGCAACCTCGCAAGTCACCGAGTAGCTCAAGGGCTCATGAGTGACAATCAACCGACCAGTGACCAAAGCTTGGATGCTCAAATTTCAAATTGCAATATTTAATTCAATTAGTTTAAATTTGGGTAACCAACTCCATTTTCTGTTACAGTGAAGAATTTAATAGTTACATAATTTGTTTAGTTATCTACTTTGCAAGAAACAAAATCCACCGTGAACAAGGTTCTCCCCCAACTGAAGTGAAGGTTACATAACCCCAAAACTACAGAGGAAAAAATTAGGACTTCAAAATAGCCAACTTTTAGAACTTTTCCTTTTTGTTGTGTTTTGGTGGGGGTGGGGGAGGGGGGGCTCCAATTTTCTCAACAGTCTGCTTTAGTTGGGGAAAATGCAATTTTGCAACTTGGACCAGTTCACGATTGAACTTCAAGTGTTCCGTGAAGAGAGTGTCTATGGCAAATTCGAATTCCAAACCCTAAGCCTGTAAAGCATCCAACCGCAATTGCAACCACACTTGAGTATACATTAAAAAAAAAGAAATCAGCAGCTTACTATGAATCCCATTATCATTTGAGAGAAGCAACTAGGGTTCCTCTCAAGAATTCCGGATACGCATAACATACAGCTGGATATAGACACAAAATACTGGCACAGCATCTATTTGCTTAAAAAGGTGAAAAATTGAAACCTGGACTTTTGCGCAGGTATAATTAGGTTGACGAGGCGGAACGGAGGGTGTGGTGGAAGCTGCGGTGGCGCCGCCGTTGGAGAAGGCGTCAGAAAATCTATTCTGCTCCATTTTCTGTCAGAGCTCAATCCGAAGAAGAAGAACTATTGGATTGGACTTCAAGAAGGGTTAAAAAATAGAATAAGAATCAGAGATTTAATTCAGAAAAAAGGATTAAGAAGCCAATTAGTATTAGAGTAATTTGGATTAGGGAGAGAAAGGAGACTGGTTAGAGTGAGTGAATTGGAGAAGGGTTTTTGAAACATTTTCGGGAGAGCGGTCTTTCGATTCGGGGTTTTGGAGGCCGACTGGAGTGGGTTTTCTTTCTCATTATTTATTATTATTATTTTTTATTTTACCCCTTTTTTTTCCCATCATAAGGACAAAAACAAACAAATTTCAAGAACGATGCAGAGGAAACAGGAGAGGGAGAGAGGAAATAAGCCTAAAAATCTACTAGTACTAAATTTTCTTGAAAGTTTCACAGAAGAAAACCAAAGAGCAATTTCTTAGTACTTACTATATGTTTTTTTTGATAATGAGGGATAGCAAAAATATATATATATATATATATATTGTGGAGGCCAAAATGATTAGTTACCTTGGAAACTATCTATCAAGATGGTAAAGCAAGTACCAATCATGATTGTATTGCCTAAAGAGTTTGTCACAATTTGTTTGGATTCCACTTTGTGTCATGTAATAGAAGAAAGCAAAATCGACTTTCTAGATTTTTTTTTTTGGGTTTCCTCTAATCATTTAAGTGCACCAAATTTGGAGGCAAATTGCGCCCTTTGCAAAAACGGATTTGGATTGATGAATTTTGAGTGTGAAATGATAAAGTTTCATTCAAAATGGGTTACATAACAAGCTTGAAGTTTTGGTGATTAAAAAGAAATAATTGAGTGGATGGAATAAGACTTGGAAAAGTTTTGGTGACTTGTGTGTAATTTACCCAAAAAATTGAGAAGATTCAAAGCGTCGAGTCAAGACCACACCGTCAAGATACGCCGGCAGCTGAAAATTACACTTGGTTAACCAGGTCCCAACAGAGAAAACTAAAGTCATGTGTGGATATTGCAATTTTTTTGAGTTTTTTTTTTTATATAGAAAATGTATTATAACAATATAGCGATTTGATATATGTGAACAAAAAATGATTGAAAATTTTGTTCACGACGACAAAACGTAATTTTTTCTTTTTTTTTGGGACGTCAAAAATCCCTTTCCAAACAAAGCTAGGTGCCAAGGCCAAAAAACAGCAGACAATCATTTCTAAACAAGAAGAAGAAGAAGAAGACTCCCTCCATCCAACAAATTCCCACCTTATATTAAATTCTCAGCAATTTCTTTCAGGAGCAACAGAATACAATACAGATGTTTGATGATGACTGTCAGTCAAGTAAGAATTCTTCCACCAAGTTAGACAGACATATTTCCTGCATTGATTTGACATATTTATCAATGGGGAATACGGAGCTTAAATGATATGCCACTTTCATGTTTTATAGCATCGCAGACAAAAGTCATATGCAATTATTTTTCATTAACAGAGCTAGTGAGGAATGAAACAACAGCAGCAGCCACCTTAGCTTATGAAGAAATTGAGTTTCATATTTTTTTCCTCGTATGACTATTTCGTAGGAAGGAACACACACACACACACACACCCCAAATTAACGATTTTGTGAGCCTCGCAACACAACGAAGAAACACATTCTTGGAGGCTTTGCAAAGCCCATTTTCGTGACCTTGACTTTGACGTGGTAATCACAAGACTTCCTGAAAAGAAGATTCTCTGATGCCACAGCTAATTTCAACGGTTTCCAGACGATTGCCAAAACACCAATGGAACAAAAGCCCATCAAAACGAAGAAGGTAAAAGATACTTTCAGCACCGTACTCGGGACAAATTTGTGACACAGAGACTTCAACCAACCATCTCCTCACCCCCCCCCCACCCCCTCCTCTTCTTGCCTAAAAAGAAAAAAATCAGTATCGAATCAACATAATTTAGCTGAACTCGAGAGATAGATGAGCGCAGCCAAAAGAAGCAGATTCTGATGGTGTGATAAGAAACTTAAAATGAGGGAGGATAATAAGTAAGTTCTGATGCAATTAGTAAAGCAAATGAAAAGGAGCAAAGTCAAATTCTTTTCAATGTGATGCAACATCTACTACAAGGTTGGAACACCTATAGTCAACATTTCCACACAAAAAAAAAAAAAAAAAAAAAAAAAAGAGGAAACATTTCCATAAAGACAAGAACATTACCCTTCAGAGAACTTAAGCTACCCAGCTAATCAACTCTAAAACATGAAGCCAAGGAACTCCCAAGCAAAATGGTAAGCAACACAAAAATGTGCCATTCATAATCTTTGACGACTTGAAATTGAGAATATAGTTCAAAATCCAGGGAAAATCCTTTAGCGTTAGTTGTCACCAGCACTGAAGTAGTTTTACTAAAATCTACAGACAGAAAATGAACTATGACTGCAAGAAACAAATTTTTCAATTTGATTCTAAAGTTGAAGGGAAGTGTTACAAAAGAAAGTTCACGCATAGATGCAGAGGATTCACTGACGAGTCTGGAGATCTATTAGCAAAGCATATGCGTAAACAGGCAGAAAGTAATATTGTTATCAAGATGCAATAGAATGGCACTCTTCCAACAGCTGAAGCAGCATGATTGGAGCATTCAAAAATCCAACATATTCAAAAATTCAAAAACATGTTTTCTTAACCTTGAAAAGTTGCACAAAGCCATAGAGACAATAACATCTATGAAGTTGCATAAAGAAATTACTTCTGACAGCGGCTCGCAAGACAGTCCCACAGCTTGCAATGTTTACCTTCATACAATCTGTAATGCAGATAAAATCTCTCTGAAGTCTCCTAATAAGCAGAATATTGAAGTTCAAAAATGAGCTGGTTTTTGTCAAAACCCTTTTGTGACATGTACTATGCTCATTAGATGGTCTAGAACTTGCAACTATACTGTATATTTGGCACCAAAATAAGAAAATGTTTTCTATGTTTGTCAACTTATATCACTCTCTTACAGAAATTAAACTTGTCTGCACATAAATGAATCACTAAAACGAAATGGCCCACCAAAATGCCAATATACTCATATTTGGTGCAATAACACAACAAAGGGAAAGCATGCAGCTAAAATGCGAACTTTTGACCTCATCAGGTTTTGCTCTTGCCAAAAGAAACAACTGACACAAATGTCCTTCAAGAAGGGGAAGAAAGCAGCACCTCCGTTAGTAAATCTTGAAAAGGATTCACTTTGGTAACTAAATACGATTATGAGCTCTGCCCCCAACAGGGTCGGGAAGCCTGTTAAATGACATCATGAACAATGTCAAGAATACATTTTTCATGAAGAACACCAACACTTATTCCAGAAAAACAATTTTGTGAAATGGCATGAATTTCATAATAATCCAAGCTCAATCGCTCCATAAAAAGGATCCATGTTGTTACAACATAGGCTGTCTTTAATATTATAAGTAAGCAAACTATGCCCTAAAATTTGCACAACTAGTATCTGAGTACCTGGAGACTGGAAAAAGAGAAAATATAAATTGAAAACAAATATTGTAGATACAGCTACAAAGCATTCTTTTTCGTTTCTTGTACTACATTAGCATAATATACCTCCTGCTGAGGCATCAACTAGCAAACTCCAAGCTTTCCAACCTTCACATTCTCTCTAAATCGCCGCAATACCTGCACAACATTTTCTCTTCGCTTAACCAAACCTATCACACCCCAACAAAGAGCAAAAGAACAAAAAGCCAAAAACAACATCACAAAATTGAGAAGGCTTAGACAAAATATGATATGGCCACACAAACCTTTCCGAGAATAGCAAGAATGTGACATCATCAAATGCATCATATCTACCTCTGCAGCACCCACAGAAAAACCCAAAATCAATTTGTTTTATTTCACCGTCTTCACAGTTTTATTACAAACTATATAGTGTACCAAAGGAAACTGAAAGCTTAGAATTGAAAAACATGCAGATACACAACCCAAACCAGAGAAGTAAGAAGCAAAACATACCAAAGAATCATGAACACGATAGGAATCAATACTCAACCCCACCAAATACAACCCTGGAAATACATTCTGCAAAAACAACCGAAACCCATTAGCCCAAACACCCAAAATATACGCACTCATATAAACAATACCGGGCAGAGAAGGAGAAAAGTTGGTTTTTTTAATTTTATTTTTTTAACAGAATGATGCTAGGTAATGAATTACGTACGTCAAGCTGCTTCTGGACAGTCCTGGGCCGTTTCTTGGGCCGGCGAGAGGGCCTAGACCCAGTCAAAGAGTACACGTCCTCCTCAATCTCCTCCTTGGAGAGCGAGATCCATAACTTCCTCTTCTCCTCCACCACCTTCCTCTGCTGCCGCTCCGTCCCGGCGAAGCCCGGGCACGCTACTCCACCGCCAACATACCCCGCCACCGTTGCTCCTCCTCTAACCACCCTACACGAACTCGATGACTTCAATAGAACACTCTCATTGCTAATATTACTATTCCTCAAAGACGACCCGGTTTCCTCCTGCAATTTTTCCTTTTCTTTATCATTCTTCCTGAACGATGACGGAGTAGTAAAAGTAGCAGTGCTTGTTGGGTAAGTCACCACTTTCCTCGGCCTCAAATTCCACGGCTTATGGCCTTCTTCCACCACGTCGTCGCCTTGCTCAGCTTTCTGATTTTGATGAGTGGAAGAAGCAGACGGGAAAGAAGCGAGACAAGGAGAAGAAAACGGCTGCGGCTTACGAGGGGTACGAGAGGCAGGCTTGGGGGAAGCGGCGGCGGTGGTGTTGTTGTCGTTTCCAGGAGGGTCGAAGTCGGGTGAATCACGGCGGTGCTGAAGGGTGGAATGAGGAGGTGATTGCTGGTGGGGGGAGTTTTTGTGGACCCATCTCAGGTGGGGCAAGGAGAAGTTATGCAGCGGCTGTGATTTTATCGGAGCGGTTGCCATCAGACCAATACCAGTATCGCTGCTTTGGTCATACAAAAGGCGGGATGGTCGGTGGCTTTGACTTGAAGACAAAGAAAGCCAGTGCTAGTGTGTGAGTCTGTGGAATACGGTCGAAAGCGGAGGAGGAAGAGGTGGAATTCCGGACTTGAGAGGTAAAGTTTGCAGGGAGAATGAGGGGGAGATAGAGAGAGAGAGGGGAAGAAAGAAGTGTTGTTTGGGTTTGTTGCGTTGTGGGTTTGGGATGATGGTGGTATTACTAATAGTAGCAGTAGTATTTATATGGGGGATTGAGGGGGTGACTTCTGGTGCGTCTGCTGAAAGCGGGATGCCGTGTTTGGAGGTGTCAATTCCTGCCCAATACTTGCTGCAAAAAATGCAGTCTTGTAGGTTAAAGGTTCAAGTGCATGTCTCTGATTTCTCTGCTGCCTCTGGTCCTTCCCTTTTTTTTAGGTATAACCCACGGGCGTCCGTCCGCATCCATTTTACGGTCTGCAACTAATTTTATTCGAGCCAGATCAGGTTCTTTGTAGGAAAAAATTCTCCTAATTTTATTTTTTTTTATTTTCATGAGTTTTGAACCCGAGACCTCAGGATGCAAGTCCCTTCCACTTTCCCTGTAGCTCACTTGGTTCGGCCTCTCCTCCTAGTCTATGTTAGAATAGGATTGCTGTGTAGACCAAAAGCAAAAAAAATGTTAGCTTAGAGTTATTTGTTTGTTTATGAAAATTAGGTAGAGGATGGGAACAAGTAACAATGAGAATTGATATGTATCTAATCATATAGTCTTAGAATGAGGAATTAAATAGGTGTGTGATGTAGTGCTAGAATGAGAAATCAATAATATTGGTCATTCGCTTGTTGATTTAAGATTGTTTGAGAAGTGACTTTGCACACTAGGATTGTGATTTCTTTTTTTTTTTTTTTAAATGATGAATTTGTTCAATTTGATTATATATTTTACTTCCAACTAATGTTGGATCACTTCCAATCATATTATTTTTTAATTTTTTTATGAGGGTAGAGGTGAAATTTAAGAAGCAAGAGGGGACAAGAAGAATTTCAAACATTTCCTTATGTCATATTCATGAAAACTTTCAATTTACGTGGGAGGCTAAAAATTTTTTGTTGATGATATACCTTATTGTTTATCCTTTTATACTGTGGATGCCAAGTTCTATTCCAATTAATATTCAAATTCTAAACTTTTTTAGTAATTTAATGATGACTGATTACATTTGATTCAACAGTGCAACCATGTAATATTTTTGTATATTAATTGATAATAATAATTAAAAAAAAAGATGATAGTAAGAATCATAATTATTGAATTTGATTACTAATGCTGATAAGAAAACGAGGATGTACTTTTTTTTTCCCTTTGGTTTTTCACTCTCTAGATGATTTGGTCTTTTTGTTATCCTTTTCTAGAAAGAAAACAAAAAAAATGAATATAAGAGTAGCTTTAAACAACCTTTTTTTTTTAAAAAAATGAGGAAAGCAAAAGAGAAGGAAAGTATTATTTCTATTAGAGCTATTGCAAACAAGGCTTAGTAGAATGGGGAAAAAAAAGAGAGAGAGTAAAGAATGGCATCATGCAAACAAGGTGGTAAAGCCTGGCCATATGAGACTAATGTTAGTGATGTTGGATGTCTACAAGCTTTCAAATTGGGGTGCACATTGACCTTCCACCACTTAGGTGGCTGTAATGTGAGGCACTGTCTTCAACCTGATCGATAAATATATATATATATATATAGATTTTCACAATTTTCAGGCCTCAATCTTATTCATTTTGAAGAAGATTGAGGTAAAGCATAGCATAAAACGTATCACATCCTAAATTCCTAGACTCTTCTTTTCGCTCCACCATTATAACTTATCGGCAGCACATTTAGTTATAAGACATTAATATCAATGTTGATCGCATCATATGTTCATTGGCCATGCGAGGAGTTGAGTTCAAACCTCAATGATTCCCTAATTCTTCACTGAGATATTATATGTCTTATTTACTTTTTGTCTGGAAGGAAAAATGAAACATTTTATGTCTTATTACAACTCTGCAGTCTGTAACAATATAAACATCAAGTAAAGTTAACAGAAGTTGGCTCAAATTGATAAGGACGGATCACTTCTTCGTACAAGATATTGGTAAGCGATCCGTAAGAATCAGTGCAAGTCTCAGAAACACGTGTCTTAACTTTCGATGGTGATCGAAGCCGAACAGACACTTACGAAGCAATTCTAGAACAAAAATGTAGCCCTCCAAGCACAGGCTTTAAACTTGCATCAGGTAATTATATCATAATTATGGTCAAGATCCATAGATGATTACGATCAAGAATTAGGTAATTTTACAGAATAATAGACTAATATTTGCGTCGCCGTTGATTTGCAGACAATGGAGAGCAAAATGACCGGAAATCATTGGGCCCATAAGCTGGACCAAGCAATCATTTTTCCTTTTTTCTTGTCTCACAGAAGTAAGAAATTAATTAATTAAATCTAATCTCAAATTTAATCTAAAAAGCCGGCAACTTTGATCGCGGCAAGCAATCATTTTTCCTGATCGCGGCAAATTTGATCCCTCTGGCACCAGGTGAAGGATTTTCTATTTAGTGTCATTTATTGCGTCAATTTGTCACTCTTATTAAAACATGGCCATTTGATAATAATCTTTCAATTAGGTAGCAAAACCCCCTATTTGTCGAACTTTAAAGCAACCTAACTATTAGAAATGGTTCGCTATCGAAAGGGATTTGTTCGGTTTGGCAGTTAATCTCTTATTTGGCCTTTGATAGGATTCTTAAGGAAAGGTTCTCCGGTTATATTTTCCAAATTTAAGATGTACTGTTTATTTTGTTAATGGTGTCAGGGATATGTATTAGCACACTTATGTTACACCTAATTTATTACGTAAATTTATACAATCCGTCTGTCTAAGAGGTGCTCATAGAACACTGGTTAAGATATATTTCAGGTGTTATATTTTTGAAAATATAAGATTAAAATATATTTTTTTAAGTATTGTATTTTTGAAAATATAATATTAATTAGGGAATGTAAATAACTATAAGAGATTAAATATGGAATGTATATAAATGCAAGAGAAGATAATAATTGTTAGTATATGATAATTACTAAGTGAAGTGTATTGACAGTTAAAAAAATCCTTATAATTATTATATATGTTCCGGTATTCAACACGGCCACTGCTAAGATTTATCATTACACACTTTTGTACGCCCTTCAGAATTGGATTCTGGAAATGTCAATCCTGAGAACTTGTACAATCGCCACAAATTTTCTACAAGTGTTCTAAGAAATCATTATGGATCCTTCAAAAAAAAAGAAAAGAAAAGAAGAAGAAATCATTATGGATTCAAGACAAATCAATAGCTTAATCATTTCACAACTCTGTCGAACTCTGAAGTATTTTACAAATTAATTCTGTATAAATCAAGCCGAATTGCTGTGGATAACCAATCCCAATAAATTACTGTCATATTAAAAAAAAAATCCTCTTAAGCTTCATAAAACTCTGCTTAGTACTAAAATTGGTTTTTTCCTTTCAAGCAACTTAGTACAGTTGTTACTCAACGTAAGTGATTACCTGTAGTTTACGTGTGTGTGCGTTCCTGGGTAAAAATTTCCAGAATTCCATTCAAATATTAGTTAAGGAAAAATTTGGTCAAAACACTTTTTTCTTTTTTTATACTAGATGTTTAGGTCAACGTCTTTGAACTAACGATTTACATGGCCATGTGTTTGACTCAAGTGAATGCTTCAACTTAGTTAACATATAGACTTTTCTAATGGGTATTCTCAGACACTTATTAGTATATGAATTCAAATAGTCATGTTTAATGCACCACTAAATTTAAACACTTTTTTTAAAAAAATTAATTAATTTTCTTGTTGCCAAAGAATTAACACTTGAAATTTGATAGGAAATATTATTTGAAATAATTACTGTAACACTGTTTATAATGTAATGCATGCGAGATAAAAAGATGATAGGAAATATAAAAAGGTGGGTTGAAAAATATGTTTATGATATAAACGAAATATTATTTAGAAAAACTTGCTAGGAGTGTGTTTTTTCAAACGTGTAAATAATTTAAATATAAGCCCCGAACTCTTCCTGATGTGTTTAGTCGTGGAATACCTTGATGTGCTTCACAAAAATTTAAACCTTGAAAGGTGATTTATTTTAAAGTAAATGAAAAGGTTGTATTGCTTGTGTTTTTTTTTAAAAAAAAATTTTCTCTGTAATCGAGGTTAGATGAACTATCATTTTTCACCCAATTAATACCCATTCAGCTAGAATTTTTAGTTTTGTGAGCGGTCCATATTAGAATATTGTAGTTGAAAAAATTTTTGTTTGAAATAACATTATAGTACTTTTTGTAATGTCATGTATATAAAATAAAAAAAGTAGTTAAAAATTGTATTTATTATGTAAACAAAATAATATTTGTAAACTTTTTTCCCCAAATTATACTATCCAAACGTATACATTAACACTTGCAAGCAGGATAAAAGTTGCATGGAATATGGATGGTTGCCCTCATAGGGGTGGTCCAGCGATAAACGGGCTCTTAAGAATCCTTGAGATTTTTGGGTTTGAATCTTACCCCGAATTTAAATCCCTGTGACTCGCCTGGAATCGCTACGTGGAGCCGCGGTGCACTCCTCCAGTTTGATGTGTCAACTCGGATCCTAAGGGTTCGAGTTGGGACATGTTCCGGGTTACCAAATATATATATATATATATATATATGTGTGTGTGTGGATGGTTTGTTGGGGTGGATTGGATGATTAAGGGGAGAACATCTTCGGAAGAAGGTGGCAGATTTGAAGGAGTAGAGAAGCAAAAAAGTCAAAAACCCTCGACGCTAGTTTCCAGTCTTACCAATAAAGTTGTAGAAATTGAGAACAAAGTGCATCAAGTCAAGGATATAGAGAGCAGACACAATAATAAAACCTTGCATCTGCTTTGAATTGTTTCATCTATCCGACCTCAAAAAAAAAAAATGAATGCAATCTGAATCCATTTTTTCCACCAAATTAAAACGAAAAGAACCAAGAAGAATTTTGGATGGGACATCATATATGCTGATACAAAAAGATTATGGCCCTATTTAAATTGCGATGATTCATAAAAAAGCACTTCTCTGACATAGTACTTTGAAATTATCAAAAGTTGAGCTTTTTAAATTATAAAAAGTTAATTACCAAACACTTTAAAAATACATTTAATACTTAAAAGGATTTTTTTTTCTGGTAAATGCAACTCCAAACAGAATCTAAAACTCTTGCTCCAAAAAAAAATATTAATAATTTCCAGTGACAACAAAAATCGTATTCAGACAGCTTATTTGTTTTTCCTGTTCTCCATCCTTTACAGATTAAAATCAGTTCCATGATATCTATTGACGCACATTCTATGGATTTTAAAAACGTTGCGACTTCAAATAAATTAGGAAAGCATTTCCTAGAAATACATATTAGAAGCACTTAATAAGGTCGGAATTTCCTCGCTGCTCTTAATTGCTGTATTTTCCTTTTATCCTGTTCGAATTTGTCTTGCAGCAACAAAATCTCTGCAGGGAAAATAAATTTAAAAAAAAATGATATCAATTTTATGAGAAAAGAAAAAGAAGCATAAACCCAGAAACATGCTAATCATGATTGAGCAGAAAAAGTTTCTAGCCGATGTGATTATCTTTTATAGTTCATGGAAGAATCTAAATAGAAGGGGACATTCGTTCCACCTGCCGTGAAACAAGAAGTACGACTTCATTCGTCTATCTTGCTTTGTGAAATAATTACTACTTAAGATAACCCCCCAGAAAACCTAGATCAAGAACAAGGCACCCTCCTCCTGAGTCATCAACCCACTTTCAACCATACTAAGGAAGTAAAATGGATATATTGCTACAATTTTTAACTTCGTCAACTTTAATTTGACAAAAAATTTGGTTTGTTAACAGAGCTGACCAACATACTCAACTGAGATAGCCTCTGGGACCAGTAATACACGAAAAGAACATGCAAACTCAATTTCAAGCCATTTAACTGACAAGAAAAGCAGGATGTACCTTGTCAGATATTATAACAGAGAGATAAAAAGGAAGGTGTAGAGAGAGGAGAGAGAAGCCAGCCATCTTATTAAGTCTACCAAGTCTTCAACATAAAACCTACTAAGAGTTCCTACATTGTCTACTTCACCAAGATCTTATTAAGTCTACCAAGTTTTGCATCATTCCAAGAGCTAAGAATTAAAAAAACTTTCCTTCTTTTTCTGAAGAATATCCCAAAAAAAATAAAAAAGAAGCTTCAGTGACCAGGTAGGTCAACCATACTAGTTTCTGCCAATGTACTTAAAGTTTTTGAACTAGTAAAAAAACCTAAGAAGCTATGCAGTATTTGAAGTTTTTTGTATTTTGTTTTTTTTTGTGTGGTGGGGTGGGGGGGTGGGGGGTTGGAAGAGGGGGATAAAAACCTTGCATCAGAAATTGCTGAATATTTAGGGAGCCAAAATACAACCATCACAGCCATATATTTGGTTCTAAAATCAACTTAATATGGATATAAACCATACCATTTTTCCGTGCTTCCCTTTTCTGAAAGCGATAAAAATCTAGCCCCGCTCCTTTACTCTTCCTTTTGGCCATTTTGTCGAGAACAGCAGCCTGGGCAACAGAGCCAACAGCTACTCCAGTTTCAGCATCTGTTGTCTTTTTCCTGCCTCTGTGATGAGTAACAACAGTCCATCCATCTTCAGCAGCCAGGGCTTCTCTTTCTTTTCTTTCCTGTGAGTTCCGTAACATAATAAAAACGATAAAGGAAGAAGTAAGCACTAGATGCAAGGAATAAACAGAATATGAAAAAACTCAGATGACCAAAAAAATAACTGAAACAGTATGCATCAATAGCAATGATACCCAGCAAGTTTAAGCACTTATCAGCTAATTTCTGTATCAAGATGAGTAAAAATAGCGAGATCAAACGAAGAATCTTCAGAAACAGAATTTGTTTATCTTTCATCACAACTACAAATGCACCAAGTGACATCTAAGCTCCATTACATTTGGCCACTGAAACTCCCCAGGTCCTCCATTCCCAAGCTAGTGCACCTTGTGCTCAAACGCTTATCAGCAACGACAATGGGGAATACAAAATAGAAGAAAATACCTGCTCCTCCCGTGCCTCATGAGCAGTTATAAAGTCATCAATTCTTTCCTGTAGTACTTTTAATCCTGGTCTTCGCTGATGGTATTCCATAATCCATTCTATTTCACCAAAAAGAAAAATTAGTGGGTTAGATAAGACAGATTGCCTAGAAAAAACATGCTTCAAAGAGAGCAATCTAATGAGGCCAAAGAAAGACATTTCCAATAGAAACAATTCATACTTTTCATTCCTTTTGAGTAGTCTTCATCCCCTGAAGAAATCTCATAGATCTCATCTGCATCAGCATCTCTCTTCCGTATTAAATTCTCCTCCAAATTTGATGATCTAGAGTCCTTATTCTGAATTTCTCTCGACTTACCTATGGGAAACCAAAATTCCTAGTTATATCTGTTACAAAATGAAGCAATACAACCAATTCAATATAAGACAAGACAACAAGGAAATATCAAATCTCTCTATTACCAATCTGTTGCTCAGAATTATCTTCAACCATAGAATTCACGTTGCTGAACTGGGCTTTCTTTTCCTTTTTATTCTTCTTTTTCTTTAATTTTCTTTTCTCATTTTCTTGCACTTCATTGGATCTGCCATTTTGTTCCCCTAATCCATCTGTTACAAAATGAAGCAATTCAGCCAATTCATCATAAGACAAGACAATAAGGAAATATCAAATCTCCTCTTTATTACCAATCTGTCGCTCAGAATTATCTTCAACCATAGACTTCATGTTGCTGAACCGGGCTTTCTTTTCCGTTTTATTCTTCTTTTTCTTTAGTTTTCTTTTCTCATTTTCTTGCACTTCATCGGATCTGTCATTTTGTTCACCTGATCCATCTTCTGTTTCATGAAAAGTCTTGTCCCTGTCAATACTTTCTCTTTCAGCTATCTGGTTATTCTTTCGTTTCTTATTCCTCAACTTTCTCTTAGCATGATTGTCTTCATGCTCTCCCAGTTCATCTGTCAAAGGCCACAGAAATTTTCCTTAACCTGAATTTGTGCATTCAGTAAATAACAACTACTCTAAATTACATAAAATCAACCTTTGCCATTGGGCTGATCAACTTTGTAAGCCTCATCAGTATTGCCTGTGTGCTGTGCCACAGATCTCAACCTTTTCTTTTTATCCTTCACTTTGGACATATTATCCGCTGGGAAAATAACAGAAGACATGTATTGTCAACCTCTTTGAGCCTCAAAAAGGACAAATGAATAAAAAGCAAAAGGGTAAGAGATTACTACAAAACAATATAGCACAGTGAGCATGCCCTTACATTCCACAAATTAACATCAATCTCGAGTGAGTGCAACGTAGTACTGAAGGTTGGGAAAGCTGGCAATAGCACTGCTCCTAGGAGTGAATCCTAAACTTAACAAACCTCAGATTACATTACACTTCACAAGCAGCCAAGATAATATTCAATCTGGTACCCAGATGTCTGAACACAACTTATCCCTTTATTCTTTCTTTTGGTATACACTTCCTAGTCATCATCATAATTCTACGGTATACTGCTAGTTAAGACCGCCAATCTTTTTACACCAGGGTATCCAATTTATATCCATGATAAGATAAACCAAAGAAACTTCAGTAGTTAAAACCTAAGCTTCTATGAGCAATTCTTTTTCCCGAATTAACTCTCATTCGCAACAACAATCTTTTACATGGTATACTTGATAATGGTATGTATGCAAATTTATTTAGGTACCCTTCATCCCACAGTTTTTTTTTTTGTCAAAATCATCCCACGATTAGTTATAAACATTCCCCCCTGAATACATACTTTATTCTGCACGTATATTACGGAGCAGAAGCTACGAAAAAATAATGCTCTGCGACTGGTTCATCAGGAAACTCCACAACAATACACTTTAAGACTGAATAAAGCATTAGCGGCAAACTGGTATAAGGGGGATCAAAGTTATAACTTCAAGCGGATATACTATTTAACTACACCGAAATATTAATACCCAATACAGTCACTCATATTTATCCCCCAAAAAAGTTGTGATTTATTTTCTTGCTCAAATTAAGGTTAAGAAATTCGAAAACAAAAAGAGCGCAAAGAGATTCTATTACTGCCTGAAGAAACACGGTGAGAGATTTAGCAAGAGAACATCAAAACAACCAGTTAATTACAACATCATTATCACCGGAGAAAGAAATATTACACCTTGAGAAGAAAAACAATGGAAATGTACCTCTTACTCTCAGTCACAAGTTGAGCTGGATGTTGATTCTCTCAAACGAGTACCAGGAGACAACAACTGAGTTCTAGTCAGTCAATGGTTACTGCTGCAAGGTGGAAAATTGCCTCCTTTGCAAACTCTGCGGAGATTAGCTAAATTTTTTGCTTTAGTTCTTGGCTCTCTGCCTAGGACCTTTTTGCTGGGTGGGGGAAATTGGGGCAGCGGGTCGAGGACTCGAGGTCAATGGAGGTTCAGCACCTTAGGCGGCAAGTCACCCCGGTGGAAGGGCCGAAAGCGGCGGAAGAGGATGGGTAAAGTCAGCCAGGGAAGAATGCTGCAGCGGAGGAGTAATTAGGATTTAGGGCTCTTTACCAGGAGAACCAGCGTTTTCTCTGAACAGATTTTTCCGTCTTTTCTTTTTCTTTTTCTTTTTCCCGTTTTCCTTTTCCGAAGAAAGAATAGGGTGTAAACAGTAAAGTAGCCTAATCCAATAAAAAAGAAAAAAAAAATTAACTTTTTATATCCTGATAATGGAGTGATTTTTTTATCACTACATATGCATGATTCATTGATTTCAATTTAATCTGAATCAGTTACTATAAAAAGAAATTATACACTGACTGACAGTGTACAATAGTGTAATTTACTTGATAGAATTGAGGTAAAATTATGAAAACAGTTGTAATATACTTGAACAAGACTTCTCTTCAACCTGAATTAATGGACTGCGTAAATAGCTGAATTAATTGGCCGCACCAACGGCTGAGGAGGACACGATTCGTTCTTTAAATCACACCCTTTTTCTAATAGAAAACATTAAAAAGAAATCGTCGTGTTCTTTTTAAATTTCACTCTTCCCTGTTTTCTCTGCTAGACAAAATTGAAATAAAAAAAAAAAAACTTACAAAGTAATACTACATCCCACCCTTCCCTTGGTAAAAAAATTTAAAAAAAAAATCCCTCGACACAATTTTTTGAAAAAAATGACTTTACCCAATAACACTGCAGTCTTTATGTAGAGAAGCCTCAGTAAAATAATTCCACTTTTGTTATTCCTTTTATCTGGTCGTGTCAACATATTTTTCTATATGAGCAAACATTATCAATAATAACCAATGCAGTTTCTTTTTTCCTTTTCTTTTTTTGAATAGGAAATAACTTTATTTCACTGGCATTAACGAAAACATTTACATCATCAGCAGCAACACTTCAAGGAAAGCTTGCAAAATTATCCCACCGAACAAGTCTAGATTTCAATCTAAACCCAAAATGAGTAAGAAGATATGTAGCAGCTTTCCCTCTGCTACATACATGATATGATACACGTACAATCCTGCATGTTCATGTTGAATTGAGTAGCAGTCAAGCTTGTTCCGCTAAAGTAGCAGTAATCAGAATCATCAACTGAACAACTTCTCCATTAATCCACAAGAATCACCTTCGAAGCCAAACGCATCAATATTGCCAACATCTTGCATGGTCTGCAATCTGCATCAACAACATTGCTAGACCCCTCTGATAAGGCAGCTAGTACTCATCTTTTATCATCATGTACTAAATTCCAACTCCCATCTTTCCTTCTTTTCAAGAACCATCAACATTTAGTTTCAACCTTTCCTTAGGTGGCTTCGCATGTTCTCTAATCAATCTATACGGTGTCCAATTTTAGTAGCCTTTTGTACTTGGGTGAATTCCAAGAAACAAGACCACAAGCAAAATTTGCCACCTTTTTTTTTTGCCTTTATCACTTTATTTTTAAATATCAACTGATTAAGGAATACTAGAATATATCATCCAAAGACCACAAGCAAAAACATGCTAACCATTGAGAATCATTATCCTTTAGAATCCACCCCTAGAAATTCTTTAGCAGATAATCAATGCAGTTTTTTACTAATGGAACAAAATGTTGTTTTGCTTGGGCTAAAAGTCTGCATGAAACTCATGTATGCAGCCCACGAAAGTTAGGCCCATCTCTATGACATTTCACTATTCGAATCATTTTCTTTTTTTTAACATTATCTCCAAAATCCAACTCAACTAATAATCCATGGTTCCCCTGGTAAGACATGAAAATTTCCCTAAAAAAAATGTTACACTATCCATAAGTCCTCTAAAATCACAAATCAAATTGCCTGTAACATATAATTTTAAGTAATACATTTATTTCTTGTCCAGTGGCCCAGAAATGATGAGAAGCTCGGTTCGTTCTTTCATGGCTCGACTTGGAATCGTGGCCGAAGGATTCCTAATCCAGCAAACGACGTGGAATCGAATAACAACTGAAGTCTTGATGACGGAGTTTATTATTCTCAATCAACGTGAAGTTGGACATATATTTCGCTAGTCTAAACTTTAAAGAGATTTTTTATATACTGATAGTACGAAGATTTCTTTACATAATCATATTCAGATGTACGACACTTATTAATTTCTATTCAAATATTAAATCTTCTTATTAAACCCCCATCATGCATTTAGATCCGCACATTTAAAATAATCTTTGCACTATCAGTATATAAAAAATTAACCGTTTGTTTTTTATTCTTTGAGCGTTGTATTTGAAGAATGAATTTTGAATGGGATGGGGCCTTTATTGTGTGGATGAGCTTTGCTTTTGCTTTGGGCTTACATGGAGTGCAGAATCTGTTGAAACCATCAAAACTAATATTCTTACATTTACGTTTTTGGGTCCAATTGGATGTTGAGAGGATTTGGCCCACCATGCACGTGGATATTCATAAAAGAAAATATTGTCTTGGACCATTGACAAACAATCAATAACTAATCAGCAACAATTTAGAATCTAGAAGATAGATCCTCATCATTTGCAGGCTTGCAGCACTGAAATGATTAGCTACGTAGGTCTTCTTTACGTACATCCAAATTATTTTAGCCCATCAATTAACAATGCACGAAGTGAACTAATTAGTAAATTAGCAAGGCCGACAAATATTTGTCTTGTGCATTATTATTGCTTAACTTAGTCAAGGGTATACTTGTCCATTCACTAATAAGCCCGACACACCTAACCGGAGGTAGCCATAGCTCAGGTTTGAACCGGATCAGGACCGATGGTTTTGTTGAACTGAAATTTGGAAATTGGAATCAAAACCATAATTGTGATTAAAAGTTCAAGTTTAAGTTCATAAAAAACATGAGTCGGAACTAGAATCGACGGTTTAAAACCCGTTTAAATTGTCTGAAAATGCACTTGCTATTAAAACCTACCTAGTTGGTCAATTTAGAATTCAATATCAATAGTTAGTACCCAACACAAGCAATCCCAATTTTAATCCAAAAACCTATTGTTCTATCTCATTAGTAAGTCTAAACCCTATAATAATCTAAGTTCAAGATCAATTAAATCTAATCAATAATGAGATTTTTTTTATTCTTGCACATGATAATACGATATAGTTCTTTTATTTTTTTCTACATTTATTGTCATATTTTTTTAGAATCAATTTTATAATAATAAGTGTTTAAAAATAACTAAAAGAACTAGAACTGTAACCGAAAGAAATTAGAATAAAATTGATGCCAAAATCAAATCGAAGCTAAATGTTCAAGAATCGTAATCGTAACAGTTTCTACAAGAATTGGTTTAGATTCCACATTTCAAAAGGGCCGAAATCGTCATTTTCTAAATCGGAACCGGCGAACTATGAAACCATGGCTATTATGTCTACGGCTAAGTTGGGGTACAAAATATTCACTCCGTACAATACACATCACACGTGCGATCCCAGGCTCATTATTATTTGGTTTGGTTAGCTAAAATAGTGTCGTGTGTACTCTTCATTTATTTCGTTTGATTTGCTGATTAATTGAAAATTACAACTTAAGATTTGCAGTGGAGATTCTCTTTAACTGTTAATCACATGATTAACAGCTAATCAGGTCACATGTGCCAGATGCGTGGGGCTCATGTTATCACCACGAATCTCAAAGCAAAGCAGCTGGCCTACAGTACACCGGCAGGCACCAGCCTTCTATTTCTTGGTAATAGTTGCACATGCACAATTGCACGTGTGGGTATTCCTTAATCAACGGTTGATTACCTGACTCAATTGTTGATAAACGGACCTGATTAGTCCCGTGGCACGCTCACCGGAAAAAGAAGAAGTGTAGGAGGAAGATGAGTAAATTTTTGGCGATGATCGTCTTCATTAAAATAATGACAGCCAAATGATGAAATGATTATCTCCACTTGATCCGGGATTTGACCAGATCCAGCAAAGACAAAGGTTACTTTGACCGTTGGTGCACGTGTGGGTACACGTACACTAACATGTGTGCTTTGCTGTTCCTTGTCATGGAATGCTGGCGTACCACATAGGATGCACATGAGTTGAAATAATACTTCGCTCAACTTGCAGAGAAACATTCCATGCACTCGAGGAGCTGACGAGTAACCCTAAATAAAGTCACAGTTTACCTACAAAAGATCTTTTTCATAATCGGTTCATTTAATACTCACGAGGAGATATGTACAGTCTATAATTGTGCATTATTGACATTATGGGTTGTTAGGGTGGTCCTCTTGTGTACATTTTTTTTTCCAGGCTTATCGAATTTTTATACATATTTTTTGTTGCTAAGATAATCCACAATCACCGATGATATTCGAGAGTAAACACTGGATAAATTCTGTTCAATGTAATAGTCCGCCAACCACATTAAAGGGTAAGACGTATTAGACAAGTTCTGCGTGATGGACGAATGTGCCAAGAGATGTTCGGACCGAATTGACAAGAAAGTATGATGTCAACTCCACCGTTTCGCCCAACTCAAGGAAAGAGTCTCTTTTTCTTGCAAGATAAGAGTCTTTTTTTTTTTTTTTCCAGTAAAAGAGAGTTAGAACTTTAAAGACGAAGAAGACAGGAAGGAAAGTTTGAATTCAGATATCTAATTTTTGAAATTTCAACCTCAGAAACAATCACCATTATGCATGATTGATTAGCCGTTGAAGAACTTGGTTTTAACATTACTGTGCGTACAATATTCAAGAGTGTATTCTGTAAGCAAAATTTGTGGTTGATTTACTCTGGAGATTTCGTGCTTCAGACATTCAATGATGAGGGTGGTCAATTTTGTTTTGTTACGAGTCCCTATTTGTGATATGAGGGTTGATTTCGCTGCTGAATGTTTGTCCTCACGTTCGGTTAAATACTTTATATTCATATGTTTTTGCTTTAGGAAACCTAGATGGTTCCCACAATGATGTAGTGCCAGTAAAAGATAAGCCAAGTTGGGGAGTTGTGGTGACTTGTGTCTATATAATTGAGAGTGGCCAACTCAACTCGAGAATGACGAGGGATGCGTCGAATAATAATAATGTACTTATAATTACTACAAGCTCTGGTGGATTGCACATGAAAATCCGCAATAAAGTGCCAAAAATCGA